TCACGAGCTCCTTCAAATCACTATTTTTGTATCCTCTGGATAAATGCCCAATAGTGCAATTGCTGGGTCATTGGGTAGTTCTATTTTTAACTCTTTGAGGAGCCTCCATACTGTTTTCCAGAATGGCTGCACCAGTTTGCATTCCCACCAATAGTGTAAGAGGGTTCCCCTTTCTCTGCATCCTTGCCAACATCTGTTGTTTCCTGAGGTGTTAATTTTAGCCATCCTGACAGGTGTGAGGTGTTATCTTTTTGTGGTTTTGTTTTGTATTTCCCTGATGATGAGTCATGTTGAGCGTTTTTTCATGTGTCTGTTAGCCAAAACATGGATAGAGCCCAAATGTTCATCGACTGATGAATAGATAAAGAAGATGTGGTGTATATATATACACATACATACAATGAAATATTACTCATCAATCAAAAAGAATGAAAACTTGCCATTTGCAATGACATGGATGGAACTAGAGTGTATTATGCTAAGCAAAATAAGCCAGTCAAAGAAAGACAAATACCATATGATTTCACTCATATGTGGAATTTAAGAAACAAAACAGATGAATATAGGGGAAAAGAAGGAAAAATAAAATAAGATGAAAATAGAGAGGGAGCCAAATCATAAGAGACTCTTAGCTAAAGGGAGCAAAGTGAGGGTTGCTGGAGGGGAGGTGGATGGAGGGATGGCATAATTGGGTGATGGGCATTAAGAGGGCACTTGATGTCATGAGCACTGGGTGTTATATCAACTGATGAATCACTAGATTCTACCTCTGAAACTACAATATACTACACTATATGTGAACTAATTTGAATTTAAATAAAATCTTGAAATAAATAAATAGAAATCTACATAGACCTATATCAAGTAAAGAGATTGAATTACTGATCACTAATTACCCACCAAAATAGATCCAGGCCCAGATGGCTTCTGGTGAATTCTACCAAATATTTAAAAATAATTAGTACCAATTGTTCACAAATGTTTCCAAAATATAGAAGAAGAGGAAACATTTCTCAAGTCATTCTATGAGGCCAGTATTACTTAGTTACAAAACCAAACAAAAAGGGGCACCTGGGTGGTTCAGTCAGTTAAGGTTCTGCCCTCGGCTCAGGTCATGATCCCAGCCAGGGTCCTCGAGCAAGCCCCACATCAGGCTCTCTGCTCAGCGGGAAGCCTCTTTCTCCTTCTCCCACTGCCTGCCTCTACCCCTGCTTGCACTCTCTCTCTCTCTCTCAATCTCTCTCTGTCAAATAAGTAAGTAAAATCTTTTAAAAAATGAACAAACAAAAATATCACAAGGAAAGAAAATTAAAAACCAATATTTCTTATGAATAGAGACACAAAATATTAGCAAACCAAATCCAGCAACATATAGAAACAACTGCATACTATGATCAAGTAGAATTTATGCCATGAATTTAAGATTTGTTTGACATCCTATCATCAATTTATGTAATACACTATATCAATAGATAATGAATAAAACCTCATGATCAATTTGATAGACACAGAAAAAGCATCTGACCCCTTCATAACAAGAAAAAAAAAAGAAAGAAAAAAACACTAAACCAACTAGAAATAGAATGAGATTTCTGATAAAGGGCATGTACAAAAAGCCACAGCTAACATACTTAATGGTGAAATATTTAATGCATCCCCCATCCATAATGAGGAACAAAACAAAGTGCCCTCTCTCACCACTTCTATGTGACATTTTATTGAAGATTCTAGTCAGGCAATTAAGCAAGAAAATTAAATAAAAATCATCATATTGGAAAGGAAAAAGTATAGCTTTCTCTATGTACAAATAACATAGTCTAATAGAAAATTCTAAAATATCCACTAAAAAAACTATTAGAATTAATAAATGAATATGGCAAGATTGCAGGATACAAGTTCAACATACAAAAAAAATTGTGTTTCTATAGACTTACAATGAACAATTTGAAAATGAAACTAAGAAAACAATTTCACTTCAACTAGCATCAAAAAGATAAACATATCTAACAAAATAAGTACAAAACTTACACTCCCAAACCCAAAACATTGTTGAAAGAAATTAAAGAAAACCTAAATAAATGCAAAGATTCTTTATGTTCATGGATTGAAAGATTTGTTAATATGACAATACTCCCTACATTGATCTACAGATTCAATCTAGTCCCTATCAAAATACTGCTGGTTTGTTTGTAGAAATTGACCAGCTAATCCTAAAATTCATATGGAAATTCAAGATCTCAGAATAGCTAAAACAATCTTGAACAAGAAGAAAGTTGGAAGACTCATACTTCTTGATTTCAAAACTTACTACAAAAGCTACAGTTGTCAAGTCAGTGAGTTAATGTCATAAGGAATAGACCTATAAAACAATGAAATAGGATTGATATCTGGAAGTAAATTCTTATATTTATGACCAATTGATTTTGACAAGGGTGCCAAGACAATCCAATGTGGAAAAAGTAGTCTTTTCAACAAAGGGTGCTAGGACAGCTGGATGGCCATACGCAAGAAAATGAAGTTGTACCTCTATGTCACACCATGTCCAAAAATTAATTTTAAATGGACCAAAAACCTAAATGTAAGATTAACACTACAAAACTTTTAGAAAAAAAGGGCATAAATCTTCATGACTTTGCATTAAGCATTATAGTTTCTTACATATGACATCCAAAGCATAAGCAACCAAAGAAAAAAATTAGATAAACTGGACAAAATCATATTAATAAAACAATGAATCATGGATCACTACATCAAAAACTAATGATGTATTGTATGGTGACTAACATAATAAAATTAAAATAAATTTAAAAATAAAAGGAGAAAGTCTCTGAATAAACATTTCTCCAAAGAAGATATACAAATAGCCAATATGCACGTGAAAAGATGTTCACTATCATTAGACATCAGGAAAATTTAAATGAAGACCACAATGATATACCACTTCACATCACTAGAATATCTATTATCAAAAGACGAATAACAAATGTTGGTGAGGATGTGGAAAAACCAGCACTCTCATATACTGCTAGAGATGATGCAGTCACTTTGGAAAGCAGTCTGGCAGTTCCTTGAAATGTTAAATATAGAGTTATCATATAACCCAGAAATTATACTTCTAGGGTATAACCAAGAAAACTGAAGACATATGTCCACACAAAAACTTATACATGAATGTTCAGAGCAGTATTATTCTTAATAGTCAAAAAGTGGAAACAATCCAAATTTCCACTAACTGGAAAATAGATAAACAAAATGTGGTGTACCTGTACAAAAGAATATTATTTGACAATAAAAGGAGTTAAGTATTGATACGTACTATAATACGAATGTAACTTAAAAACATTATTCTAGGTACATATATACAATGGAATATTACCCAGCCATCAGAAAGGATGAATACCCACCATTTGCATTGACATGGATGGAACTGGAGGGGATTATGCTAAATGAAATAAGTCAAGCAGAGAAAGACAATTATCATATGGTTTCACTCATATGTGAAACATAAGGAATAGCATGGAGTACCATACGGGAAGGGAGGGAAAACTGAAAGGGAAGAAATCAGTAAGGGAGAAAAACCATGACAGACTCTGGACTCTGGAAAACAAACTGAGGGTTTCAGAGGAGAGGGGGGTGAGGGGATGGGTCAGTCAGGTGATGTGTATTAAGGAGGGCACATGTTGTGATGAGCGTTGGGTGTTATATGCAACTAAGGAATCGTTGAACACTACATCAAAAACTAATAATGCACTGTATGTTGGCTAACTGAACATAATAAAAATAATAATAATAATATAAAAAAGAACATATTATTCTAAGTGAAAAAAGCCAGTCACGAGAGACCCATATATTATATTATTCCACTTACATGAAATGTCGAGAATAGGTAAATCCATAGGGACAGAAACTTAATGGTTGCCTAGAAATGAGGAATTATGTGTAAACAAGGAGGGGTTATTAATGGGTATGGAATTTTTTTTGAAGTGATGAAAATGTTTTAAAATTGATTACGGTGATGGTGCACCACCTTGTGAATATATTAAAAACCATTAAATTGTACACTTTAAATTGATGAATTGTATATGAATTATATCTCAACAAAGTTGTTATTTTCAAGACTTACGAAGAATGGTGGGAGAAGCAAAGAAAGAAAAAGCAATGGGAAGAAGAAACTGATGGAGAAAGAGAGGGAAGGCTCTTTTTTTTTTTTAAGATTTTATTTACTTATTTGACAGAGAGAGGGAACACAAGCAAGGGGAGTAGAAGAGGGAGAAGCAGGCTTCCTGCCAAGCAGGGAGCCCAATGCAGGGCTTGATCATGACCAGAGCCCAAGGCAGATGCTTAACTGACTGAGCCACCCAGGCACCCCAGGGAAGGCTCTTTATTTTTTTTTAAGATTTTATTTATTTATTTATTTGAGAGAGAGAATGAGATAGAGAGCATGAGAGGGGGGAGGGTCAGAGAGAGAGGCAGACTCCCTGCTGAGCAGGGAGCCCGACGTGGAACTCGATCCCGGGACTCCAGGATCATGACCTGAGCCGAAGGCAGTCGCTTAACCAACCGAGCCACCCACGTGCCCCAGGGAAGGCTCTTTAAATTAGAATTAATAACAGAGAGGAATTCACACAGAATTTGAGGAAAACACCATGGGAGCAAATAGAGCTGTTAACTTCAGTGTGGCTTGCACAAGTCTTTCCTCAGTTTCCTCATCTGTACAATTATGAGTTAGACTCATTATCAGTTCTCAAGGATCTGTTTCTCTGACATCTCTGCCCATTTCCAAGGGGCTGTAAACATTGGGACCAGTCAGTTGTCCTCTCTGAGCTGCCATTATAAAATGGATTAAAAACAAGAACTTTGCTCAGTCAGCCTGCCAGAATTCCTTCCCCATCAATTTTCCACTCCTCAACCCTCTTTCAACCCTTGACTTTCACTGCTCCCAAAGCTCATCCCCCAATTAAACCAAGGTCCCTTGGCAACCCAAACTTGGTCTGTCCTACCTGGAATCTCGGGTATCTGGGATGGTGCAACTGAAAGGCAACTGGTTACTGAGGTACACGTTGTAACCAAACTTCTGGAAAAGGTCCTTGGCCTTTTTCTGATGGGCCTCAGAAAGATCCTTACCCCACTGCCTGAAAAGCTGTGAGTCTGGGAAGAGTAACTCTTTGGGTTTGTGCTTCTTAGTCTCACTTGCTTTGATTTTCAATGCCTTTTGAACAGGATGTTCGTATTTCACCCTCACCACTGTGTTGTCCACATTTTCTTCTTGCTTCATAGCCAATTTCATACTTTCTTCTGCAAATGAAAGGCAGGGGAGAAAATATTTCAGGTAATCCTGGGCATTGTTTTCTATCCAAATTTTCTTGAAATATTTTCCTCTTCAAATTCTGAAATGTGTAATCTCTTGTCCCAGGGGATGCAGTCTGTTAAGGGAATTTGTCAGAGCTATTGCAAGGCTGTCCTGGCCAGGTGTGCACTAGAACACACCTCTCCTAAACCTTTATCGGAGCTTATCTATCCTGAGTCCTACACATTTAAGTCTTCTTAAGAAACTGTGACCTGAGAAATAGATTGATAATGAGCTAACATTTTTCAGAATAAGGCCCAAGAAACTCTTATATCAGAATTGTCATGATTATTTTAAAATGTAGGTATTCAGGCTTATCCCCAAATCAACTAAATCAGAATCATAGAGTCAGATAGAGATAGGGGAAGAGAAGTTACAGAATCTGCATTTTTAACAAAATCAAGGAGTAACTCCTTTGTACAATGAAATTTGAAACATCATACTACACTATCAGTGGCTAACAAAGGCAGATCTATTCTAAACTGCACCATTATCCACCATTCCCTTCACTTATATATTTGATTTGCCAAGAATTTTAAATTGGAGATGTCCTAATCCCACATTTTCCAACTTGCTTAATCATAAGCAAACTTCAAAAGTTTGTTAAAAGCACAGAATCCCAGGTCTCCCCCAGAGATTCTGATTCAGTAGGTCTGGGGTGGAGTGTGGGGATCAGAATTTTTAACAATTGCTCTAGATCAATCTAATGGTCACATCAATTTCAGAAACACTGTCTTCACAAAGAAGAGGAAGAAGAAGAAGGAGAAGGAGGAGGAGGAGGAGGGGGAGGAGGAAGAGGAGAAGAAGAAAAGAAAAAGAAGAAGAAGAAGAAGGAGGAGGAGGAGGAGGAGGAGGAGGAGGAGAAGAAGAAGAGGAAGAAGAAGAAGAAGAAGAAGAAGAAGAAGAAGAAGAAGAAGAAGAAGAAGAAGGAGGAGGAGGAGGAGGAGGAGGAGGAGGAGGAGGAGGAGGAGGAGGAGGAGGAGAAGAAGAAGAAGAAGAAGAAGAAGAAGAAGAAGAAGAAGAAGAAGAAGAAGAAGAAGAAGAAGAAGAAGAAGAAGAAGAAGGAGGAGGGGGAGGGGGAGGGGGGAGGGGAGGGGGAGGGGGAGGGGAGGAGGAAGGATCGAAGGAAGAAAAAGAAGAAGAAAAGAAACCAGTGACAGGACTCTTTTATATAGAAGAGGGCTTCTAGGATCCATGACATCAATAACAATAGTTTTGGAAAGTGGCCTCCAAATTTCAGAACACTTTTCCAACCATTATTTATGTCACCTTTACAACAACCCTATAAGATTTCTGTTTGGAGAGTCTCACCATATGTACCTCAAGCTCAATTCTGCGGACTCCACAGAGAAAGAGAAAAAGGAAGTAATTACTTACAATGTAAGTGCTTCTGCCTGCCAATCCACTCAAAAACACAATTCCCCTAAATTAGTGATGAAAATATAATTAATCTATCTAATTTGGACACTTTTCAGAGTAGATGGGGTGCTATTAATAGTTACATAACAAGAATCACCAGGACCACAGGTGTAAAGCAGGACCATTCTAGGCAAACCAGGACTTACCATCTCCCTACCCAAAGGAAGGAGAATCTATTAGTAGCTCACAGAGAGCCAGCTTAGCTGAGTCTGATTTTAATACTAAATATATCTTCTCCTCAGTGCCATCCAAACCAGTGGCCTTGTCTCCAGATACAAGGCCCATGGTATAGCTCCATCCTGGAGCCTGGGCACATGATCATTCAGCTAGGAATATCATCAACAGAAGAAAAACAAACCAGTTTTACCTGACTCTGCCACTTGCCCCCAGCTAGGTTCACCTCAGCCTGTGCTGGCTATGCTGCCATCATTTTTCTCTCAGTGAGTACTCTCTGCACCATAGAATTACAGATGGGATCCAACAAGCACCTCTGCCCTGTCCCCCAAATATTACCCCACTCCTTGGCCTCTGTCCCCTCCTGTCCTTGGTGATCTCATCTATCCCCAAGGCTTTGCCTTTCAACTCAAGGCCACTATCACCCCCAACACACAATCTGCTGTTCTAAATTCAAACTGCCTGATTTTGAAAGTCACCTCTGCCAGCTAGCAGTTGCATGGCCTAAGGAAAACCATCTTAACCTCTCTGAATGGGGATAATCACGGCTGCACTTGCTACATAGATTTTGAGGAGAATTAAATGAGTTTGTATAAAGCAGTTAAATGAGTTTGTATAAAGCAGTTAAAATTGTACCTGTCACTTAATAAATACTCAGTCAATGTTGGTCATCATTATCATCATCACTTTCATCTCAAGTGTCTATTGGAGATGTCTCTCATTTTGCTGTTTCCCGAGTTCCCCAAATTCCTTAACAACTGAACTCATCACCTTCCCCCCAAATCTCCTGAGGTTACCTCCCTATTTCTACAAATGGTAACCACTCTTCTCCTACCTACCCAACCACCAAAACTCAGGTCCCCTTTGACTCTGTTTCCCTACCTCCATTCAATTGCCTATGTGTGGAGTATGCCTCTTCTGGATAGAATTCATCCTTTTCTTTTCATTCCACTCCCATCCAATTCCCTATTGACTCTTATCTGGACTTTTGATTCACCAAAGACTTATTGAGAATCTTCTCTGGCTGGTTGCTAAGGAGAGTGCCAGACAAGACAGGCTGATCCTATCCAACAATTTACCACATCAATGTTAAAAGTCCTTAGCCAGGCAGCCCTACACCTTCCTACCTGTGTGACTTTGGCCAAGGGATTTCTCTTCTTGGTCTTAGATTTGCCAAGTACCTCGCAGGGTTTCAGTGATAACTAAGTGGATTAATACATATAAAGTGCTAAAGACAGAGCCTGGCACACAATAAAATTTGGCTATCAATTCTGTTTTCTCTGTTTCCTCTTCTGGGGGAGGGGTAGGGAGAACTGAGGAAGGGGATTAAGAAAAGTGAGAAACTTTTTAAATTGTTATGATAAGAAATTGGAGTAAGACCTGATTTCTGAAACACAGAAGCACCGTGGGACCAGAGAGGGTCAGCTGAGGCAAGTGACAATGAATTTGTAGTGGTTCAGTTATGAGAATTTTTTCAGCAGTACCAAGCACTTGAGTGAAGGCACAGAGAAGGTGATCAACTGATTTCACACAGTGTGGGGAGGTTCTTAGGTGGGTGCAACAGAACAAGTGTGCAATGGAGTTGTAGATATTGCAAAGAGCAGAGTTGGAGAAATAGCACTGTTATAGAGAAAAGTTCGATGGATGTATTGTAGTCATGAGGTTTCAATCAGGAATGGACAGCATGAGTTTGTCATTTCTAAGGTGAACAATTCTGGGAGGTGACAAAGTCCAGAATACACCATAGAAATGTGAGGTGGGATGTAGGTAAAGAGCTTCACAGATGGAAAGGACAAGGTATTAAATGATGACACTGTATCACCCAGGGGGATAACAGGATTGGGGGCAGAGACAAAAACTAAACCAGGAGCTATTACAAAGTCTGTAAGGAGTGAGAAAACTCGTCAGAGAGGTCAGCCAGAGAAATGTTAGCAGAGGAAAGAGGGCAGCCAGGTTTTCATAATGAGGTAAAGGGCTACTGTGACAGACTTCTGACTCTCCTCCATTAGACCAAACCTAGATCAGATTAATATTTCCCAAGCCCAAAATGGATTATGACACTCCTCAGCACTAAACCCCAAAATGATAATCAAGGCATTCCACCATAAGGACCCACTTAGTTCCTACTAATTCTCCCTAAACTCTCTAAATTCCAACCAGACTGATAGGATCACCTTCTAGCCCATCTAGTACTTTCCTACAAGTTAGAAGAAAATCTGTGGATAATTACAGTCCAGGGGCACCTGCTTGATGAGGGGACTGTCCTATTGTGTGAATTTCCTCTAAGTAGGTGCAGCTCCATGCCACAGCACATGGCTTGGTGAGCAGAACATGGACTGAATTTCAGCTAAATATACAGCCCCTAAAAAGGAAACAGGAAAGTCTCTTCAACTTAGAGGAGGACATGTTTAGAAGGTGGCATTAAACTGGCCCAAAGGGAAGGAGAAACAACCAGGGAAGAGCTTAAAAGCAAAGACAGGATGGTCAAAGCAAACTCGGTAAGAAAAATAAATGGTTGGTCTTTTATAAAAGGCTCATGTGAGTACCAAGCATATTTGCTCCAGTGGAAAATAAAAATGAGAGCAGAATTTTTACAGTTTTCCAAATTGAATAGTATTTTTTATTCAAACTCTTCTATACTAAGTATGTGAGGGTCATAGGGTGGTCTTGGGATCTCTGTGCCTTTGAATTCCCCTACACTCCTCTTGGGGAATATCTGATTTTTCTCTTTCATTGATGCTGTCAATGGGAAATTGTTTGGACCTAGACACTCTAGAATTAATTTGAGGATGTAAGTGCAGAGTCCATCAGGATGAATACAGTGTCACTAGACTGTCCCCATGACTATACTGAAACTTTCCAGAACCCAAGGGGGGCACACCCAATGTTGTCTTTGTGGTGGGACAAAGTATCCTTAGGGAGGTTCCATCAAATTAGTTTAGGGTCATCAACCCCTCCCACAATTATCATCACATGTTTGCTTTTGTTCTTGATAGTTTACATAATTTGTGTAGACATCCTTATTGACTTATGACTTTTGTCAATCTTTTTGGAGGCAATGAGCAACCAGGATGATTGGTAATTGAACAGGCTTTCGATTTCAGGAAGCCCTTTAGGAAAGAAGAGCATTTGTGATCTGGAAACAGAGTCCAGAAGACATTCTGAAATTCATCTCAGGTGGTAGGGAGTCCCTGACACCATATCATTTTAGAGTGAATAAAGGGGGAAGCACTGAGAATAACAAGAAAAGGAGGAACTGGTCATTGCAAAGAAAGCAGGGGAAGTACACCCAATGGTTCTGGGTGGCTCTCAAGGCATACTTTGTCCCAGCTGAAGGAAAGAGTAGTCAGGCTTGAGGCAGAAGTCCTACTATTTTAAGGCCAGAGGAGCCTGAGCCAATAGGATGAACCCTGGGATTGGGTGAGAGAGTCCTGGTGTGGTCTGGGTGCTCTGCCCCAGAGTGACGGTGACTGGTTAGGTACACAGGCATCCTCTGGTGAAGCTGTACTAAGCACATTTGCATAGTTAATGTTAATCCACTGGGGTGTGCTCAAAGCCAGGGCTTCTGGATCTTACAATCTTCTCTGTTTCATCTACTTTCTTGCCTTGTACCCCTCTTCCCTTCATCCTTGTCTGCCTGTCTTTGTTTTCTCCTTCCCACAGTCATTCATTTATTCATTGATTAATAATTTCTACATGCCAGGTACAGGGAATAAAGTGGTAAGACACTCTATAAAATACTCACTAAGCAAGCCCCTATGAAATTTGCCCTCCAGAAACTTGTACCACAATAAAATATGATGCATCTTATGAAGGAGGATGTAGACGGTGCTATGGTGCTTTTTCTTTCTCCCCTCATCTTGTTTTCCCTTTTTCCTCCAGTCTCCATTTAAACTCTTCCTTTTGTTTCTCCTGTCTGTCCTTCTCTCTATCCCTTGGCCTCACCCTGAACCCTGACAATGCTCAGTTCTCATTATAGAAGGGATTTTCCCCATCTCCAGCCCCCATGTGCACACACTCTCATGTCTGTGCAGTCACTTCCCTGCTCACACATTCAACACTTCCCTTCAGGGGCACAAGGATTAGATCCCTCTCACTTGGGAGCAGAGGAAACATAGCTGTGCCCCTCACTGGAGTCAGATCCTGAGACACATAAAATTCAGAGGGATTAGAGTTTCACGGTGAGCCAGAATCAAAAATAAACCCCAGAAAAGAAATTTTTAAAACCCCAGAATTCATGTGAAGAAGTTAAAATTTGGGAAATCTTGAGGGCATCTTGCTAAGTTGAGTAAGTCAGACAGAAAAAGACAACTACTGTATGATATCATTTATATGTGGAATTTAAAAAAAAGAGTGGGGTGGGCAATGAGCTCATAGATACAGAGAACAGATTGGTAGTTGCGAGAGGCAGGGCATGGGGGAGGTGGGTGAAATGGGTAAAGGGCGTCAAAAGGTACAAACTTCCAGTTATAAAATAAATAAGTTATGGGATATAATGTACAGCATGGTGTCTATAGTTAATCCTGTATTTGCATATAAAATCGTTAAATATGGGATGATGCATGTTAACTAGACTTATTATGGTGATCATTTCACAATATATACAAATATTGAAACATTATGCTGTATACCTGAAACTAACATAATGTTAGGTGTCGGTTATACCTCAACTTAAAAAGAGAGAGATTAAAATGTGATACACATCAGTCTACAGAACATTTTCTGCATATATTTCACAACTGTATGAGATCCAGCAGGTAACCTCTCATCTCCATTTATAGATCCAGAGTCTATGGCTGAGAGAGATAAGCACTTGTTGATCATGGCCATGTCAGGGTTCAATCTTGGGTCCTCTAACAAGTCCCCATTAATTCCTTTTTTTTTTTAAAAGATTTTATTTATTTATTTGAGAGAGAGAGAACACATGAGAGGGGATAGGGTCAGAGGACGAAGCAGACTCCCTGCCGAGCAGGGAGCCCGATGCGGGACTCGATCCAGGGACTCCAGGATCATGACCTGAGCCGAAGGCAGTCGCTTAACCAACTGAGCCACCCAGGCGCCCCAGTCCCCATTAATTCCTGATGGGAACTCACAGCAACCTGGAAGGGAGGCCTTTGCCCCAGAGTTTGTCACCTCTGTTTAACAGCTCCTGCCCTCTCAGGGGTTTTTATACTGAGCCTCAATCTCCCTGCCTACATGCATGTACCTGTGATCATGTATGTGTGCAAGTGTACCCACACACCACTCACATAGACATATCCTGCTCCACTCCCCTCAACTGCTTGCTCTGATTCCCACTAATTCTCACTTACCTCCCATTTGGAGGGATAGAATTCAATATCAGATGCTTAATTGAGCAACTGAGAAAAAGAATGTGATCTCTCATTCATTATTTCTTCCATGCCCCTTTTTTCTAAGTGTCCCTAAACACACACACACACACACACACACACACACACCATCCCTCCAAGTTGATATTATAAACTTACTCAGATGCCGCAAATCCACCTCCACATGAGAGAGTCTCTTTATCACTGTCTTGTTCCTTTCAGACGAAGGCAAATGAAGCTGCTTTTGGAGATTTCCCCAAACCAACTTTTCTAATGTCCTCCTGGTATAAAATACCAGGAGGACATTGGTGGCAATAACCAGAGCCAGCCCAATGCAGAGGATTTTGAGGACATTTCTCCTGGACATCATACCCTGCCTCTGAAACTGTCACCTCCTGCGGGCCTGAATGTGTCACTGCCCAGGTAAGCTAAAGATCACAATCAGCTGAGCTTTGTCTCTGCCGGCTGCTGCCTGCTAAGCCTGATATTCTTCAACTGGAAAAGCTGTCACAAGCTGCCTGGCTTCTCCCTGAGCTGTGTCACATGTGTGGAGTGTGCCAGGGAAGCCACCCAATGACTGGTAGGGTACCTGGACACACCTTGCACTATCTTAGAAGTCAGGTTAATGCTTGCCCCTGGAGCTATTTCAGGCTGTGATGGGGGAGGCTTTTCTCTCTCTGTTTTGTTTCATTTTATTTTATTTTTTAATGCTCCCTCTCTCTGGTACAATTGCTCTCTGAAAGGGCATGTGAAGTATATGAGATAAATAATTTGAAAAAAGAATCCACAAAATGGGAAGCTTCCATACTATATGATTTTGAGAACAAGAATCACATCTCAGATGTCCTTTTATCTAACTCTACGGAGTCTTGAACATATTAGATGTGCAGCAAATGCTAGTTCAACAAACTTGAGGAAAGACTGTCCTGCTGAATCTACCTAGAAACAGGTGGATGAGCTGGAAGCAGCCCCTGAGGGTGAGCCACAGGGGATGGTCATGCTTCACTGGTCCCATCCTCTTTTGTCATCTACACAGTTCCAAACAACATAGTTCTACTCTGCCCCAACTTCCAGTAACTCTTCTGCTTCCATACCTCACATTCACTATATGTTTGGACAAATCACCTAATCATCATCATTGTTAAATACTTCAAATTGTTTTCCAGAGCCAAAAATTCAAAGTTGTTATTCTGGTGTTGGGTCCCTCAATAATCATATCTCCCACTCATCCCAGTCCCTTGAACGCTTTATTAGGTTCCCAAACATGGTATATGCAGACAAGAGCTGAAGTAGACATGTGGATTAAAGTAAAGAAATGCGGATCTTGGAAAATCAGGTAAGATGAAAAAGAACAAAATGAAAAGTAATCAGGTGGAGTTTTTTTGTTTGTTTTCATCATCTTTCCTATGCTCTCACCTGCAAACTGGAGTAAAAAATAAATTAAAAATGCATGATCATTTCTGTTTCTGGCATGAAATGGGGTAGATCCACTTATCTCTATTCCTCCCCACTAAGATCAGCTAAAAACTCTGGACATTATACATAAAACCTGCATAAGAAGACTGAAAGGTGGAGAAAAAGTGGGCAGACTGGCTGGAGATCTTGGGAGCTGAGGAATGACAGCAGTGAGTTCCCTGTGTTTTCTTCCTCCTAGTATAGCCTATCCTGGATGCTGGAGAAGTTGTTAAACTGTAAATGCCAGTAAGAAAAGACAATAAGGGGAAATCGGAGGGGGAGATGAACCATGAGAGACTATGGACTCTGAGAAACAAACTGAGGGTTCTAGAGGGGAGGGGGGTGAGGGGATGGGTTAGCCTGGTGATGGGTATTAAAGAGGACATGTACTGGGCGCCTGGGTGGTTCAGTTGGTTGAGCGACTGCCTTCAGCTCAGGTCATGATCCCAGGGTCCTGGGATCGAGTCCCGCATCGGGCTCCCTGCTCAGCGGGGAGCCTGCTTCTCCCTCTCCCACTCCCCCTGCTTGTGTTCCCTCTCTCGCTGTGTCTCTCTCTGTCAAATAAATAAATAAAATCTTTAAAAAAAAAAAAAAGAGGACATGTACTGAATGGAGCACTGGGTGTTAGACGCAAATAATGAATCATGGGACACTACATCAAAAACTAATGATATAATGTATGGTGATTAACATAACATAATAAAATAAAATAAAATAAAAAGTAAAAAAAAAGAAATTACATTAAAAAAAGACAATAAAAGCCTCCAAGAATCTTGGACAATAAAAGCCTGCTCTCTCTAGCCAAAGGAACAAGAAAGGGACAGCCCAGTAAGAAAAAAATGTTTAGATAATAACTGACCTACCCCAGCCAACAGCCAGGACTGAAAAACCTGCTGTTTGCCATGGCCATCCCATTGACAAAGACCATGTGGGAAGCTTCGGTTTCCACTCCCCCTCCAAAATGGTTCAGAGAAAGCCGAGTAGGGAAGGCATAACTTTTATCCCTGTTCCCCCGTGATGCCAGTAAGGGAATAGTAACAAAATGGCTCTCTCTCACCCTAGTGGTATCAGCAGACGCCTAGTGGGCAACCTGAACTTTCTCCCTCAGCAGTATAATGAGGCACCCCTGCCCCACCAAGTTTTGATGGAGGCCAAGTAGTAAACCCAGACTTCTGTTCCCACGTGATGTAACAAGGTGGCATCTTCCTTTCCCCAGCAAGGCAGTGTCAGAAAACTTGCTAAAACAGAAGATTTAAATAAAATTGAGTCCAATAACATAATACCCCCAATGTCCAGGATGCATACAAGGATCACTTGTCATAGCAAATCTCAACTTGAATGGAAAAAGGCAATCAACAGACACCAACACCTATATGACACAGATGTTAGAATTGTCTGAAAAAAAAATTAAATCAGCCATCATAAAAATACTTCAGTGAGCAGTTATAAACATGCTTCAAACAAATGAAAAAAATAGTAAGTCTCAGCAAAGAAATAGCAGGTCTCAGGAAAGAAATAGGAGACATAGAGAAAAACCAAATGGAAATTTTAGAACTGAAAAATACAATAAATAAAAATTTTAAATCACAGGAAGATCCTTAACAGCACAATGAAGAAGATAGAGAAAAGAATCAGGAAACTTGATTAGAAGATAGAATAGAAATTACTCAATCTGAACAACAAAGTGAGAACAGACTTGAAAAATAATAACAGAGAGATGCCTGGGTGGCTTAGTCAGTTAAGTGTCTGCCTTCGGCTCAGGTCATGATCCAGGGTCCTGGGATGGAGCCCCACATGGGGCTCCTTGCTCAGCAGGGAGTCTGCTTCTCCCTCTGCCTGCCGCTCCCCCTGCTTGTGCTCTCTCTCCCTCTCTCTCTGACAAATAAATAAAATCTTTAAAATAATAACAATAATAATAACAGAGCCTCAAGAACTTGAGACTCCAACAAAATATCTAATATTTCATCTGTGTCCCAGAAGGAGAGGAGAGAATGTGAGGCTAAACAAGAATTCAAAGAAATAAGGGCTAAAAATTAACCAAAGTTGGCAAAAGACATAAATTTACAAACTTAAAAAGCTGGGTTAACTGTGAATAGGATAAATCAAAGAAATCTACACCAAGTCATATCATAATCAAACTTCTGAAAACTAAAAAAGAAAAGAAAGAAAGAAAAAATTCTTAAGAGCAGCAAAAGAGAAATGACAGCTCACCTGTAGGGAAAAAACAATGTAAATGACAGCAGATTTCCCATCAGAAATCACAAAAACCAAATGGAAGTGTCACATTTGTCAAGTGGGTAAAGAAAAGAATGGTCAATCCAGAATCCTTTATCCACAAAAATATTCCCCAAGAATGGCAGAGAAATCAATACATTCTCAGACAAAAAACAAAAAAGAAGAAAGAAAGAAAGAAAGAAAGAAAGAAAGAAAGAAAGAAAGAAAGAAAGAAAGAAAGAAAGAAAGAAAAAGAAAGAAAGGAAGGAAGGAAGGAAGGAAGGAAGGAAGAAAGAAAGAAAGAAAGAAAGAAAGAAAGAAAGAAAGAAAGAAAGAAAGAAAGAAAGAAAGAGAAAAGAGAAAAAATTAAGAGAATCTTGGCTAGTAGATCTACTCCAAAAGAAAGCTTACAGGAAATTTTCAAAATGAAGAAATGATAAAAGAAAGAATCTTGGGGGTGCCTGAGTGGCTCAATTGGTTGAGCCTCAGATTCTTGGTTTCAGCTCAGGTCATGATCTCATGGGTCCTGAGATCGAGCCCCAAGTGGGGCTCCATGCTCAGCATGGAGTCTCCTTGAAGATTCTCTCCCTCTGCATCTCCCCCCTTGCATATGCATGTGCATATGCTCTCTCTAAAATAAATAAATAAATCTGGAAGGAAGGAAGGAAGGAAGGAAGGAAGGAAGGAAGGAAGGAAGGAAGGAAGGAAGGAAGGAAGGAAGGAAAGAAGAAATGTGGAAGAGGTACTTAGGACAATCATAAATTGAAGAGGGTAAAGAAACTTAAAATAAGGTAATATTTTTACAATTCATTTGAACTGGTAAAGTGATGATAGTAGTAGACTATGATAAGTTATGTAATGTGCAGTGGTGATGGACTAGTTCTAAAATATTTTGATTGTATGCTGGTTGCATGAATCTATACATCTGATCAAATGGCATAGAAGTACACACACAAATTATCAATGTCAAATGTCTGGTTTTGTTATTGCACTATAGTTATATGAAATACATCCATTGGGGGAATCTGGATGAAGGGTACACAGGACTGTTCTGTACTATTTTTGCAAAATTTTGTTAGTCTATAGTTATTTCAAAATTAAAAGTTTTTTTTTTAAAGGTGTGATTCTTACTCTAAACAAACTTATTACTAAAGTACATCACTTTCTGAAATTACAAACCCTTTATTAAAAATATACAGAAGAAGAGTGGTTATCTCTTGGGGTGGCAGGGGCTAGAGCACTGAGGGATACAGGTTGGAAGGAGAATGACTTCGCTGGGTCAACTAGGCACATTTGAAAGGCCTCTGAAAGATCAGGTATGTCCAGTGAGAAAATGGAAATCTGGCTTTGAAGCTCTAGGAAGAGATCAGGGACAGAAATTTTGCTCAGAGGAAAAGAATAAAATTTTTCAAAGTAGAAGTGTATTGGAATTAAACATAAAGTGGAACATTCAAGTATGGACAATTTTATGTTCATATTATCTTAATACTATTAAGGAAAAACGGTGATTCAATCATTAATAATGTCTATCTTTTCTCTTCCTTAGCATAAAACCTCTAGCCAGACAATAAATATTTCATAATTGATTGATTTTGTTGATCATAATGCTGACATTTTAAGGGGAAGCTCCTCCATCTCTCATATTTCCTCACTAAAATTTCTGCTCATTCTATACTCATTTGGGGATATTGTATTCTCAAG